TCTTCAAACAAATTAGTCTCACAGTTCTTGTCTTTACAGATTGAAAGGTACTTACTACATGGCAGACATGCCAGTGAAAATAGTGAGCTCCTAAAATAAATGGGCATCTAGTTTACTAAAATAATAATCTTCAGAGCCAGAGATTGAAAATCTAATTCCTAGTTTATTCATCAAACGTTTAGATCAGGCTGTATCTTAATCTGCTCACTGACAAATGCCTTTTGAGAGTAGAGGACATTTTTGAAAAGTCTTATCCAAGAAATAATTTTCTTTTAAAAGACAAATCCGAGACACAGTGAACTGGATTTTCAGCGAGCAAATGTTGGTTTACTACATCAGTGTTTTCCGGGATGCTTTTTGGCCAAATGAGAAAACGGCACCACTGACCGCAAGCAGAAGCCAAGAGCAATGTCAGGAAACCAAACAGAGAGCACAGCAGAAGCTACTCGAAAACATTCCAGGTGAGGCCTGAGCTATACCCTGACAAGTATAAAGCGGGAATGATAACTGTTAAGGCATTTTTCATTTGTAGCTCTCAAAAAACATTACTTACAGTGAAAAAGAACAATCACATTCTTTTCTTTTAAGACATTCCTTGTCACTTGCTAAGAAGTTGTACTGAGAATTTTATTAAGGGCTGGGGATGGTAGCTTATATCTATAATCCCACCAGCACTCTGGGAAGCCAAGGCAGGAGGATCCCTTGAGCTTAGGAGTTTGAGACCAGCCTGAGCAAAAAGTGAGACCCCTTCTCTACTAAAAATAGAAAAACTAGCTTGGTGTGGTGGTAGGTCCCTGTAGTCTCAGCTCCTCAGGGGAGGCTGAGGCCATGGCACTCTACCCAGGGTGACAGAGTGTGACTGTCTCAAAAAACAAAACAAAACCAAAAAAGCCTTTTAATTAGAAAATTTAGAATAAATATTTAAAATGCTCTCAAAATAGTATACTTTAGTAGGACTTATAAAGTAAAAAATCTGTTAAGATTTTAATTAAAATAGTAACTATACAAAATTAGAGTTTTGTGTAAATACTTTGAAAACTCCTAAATCTTTTATCTTTGACCATTCATGTTTCTCATGCCTCAGTTCCTTTATTATATATCATGTGGTATCTCTTTTACCAGATATCTGCATTGCCATTTTTTCAATAGCAGCATAGAATATAAACTTAATTTTTCAGATATGCTTCAGAGCCTTGTTGGACAGCAAAATGCCCGCCATGGTATAATAAAAATATTCAACGCACTGCAAGAAAGAAGAGCCAATAAGCATCTGTTATATGTG